ATGTCAAACATGAGAATCAATGTTATCGCATTTTGCGGCTTTTCAATATGAGGTGATATTCTTGAGGCAAAAAAGAGACAAACTCGAGTCCAATGATGGCAATTGAATTTCGAGCATCTTCAAAGTTCGACCAACCCTGTATCCTTTTACTTTCAATATTGAGACAAGATACAGCTACTGAAGAAGCTAATGGTAGTTGAAGGATTAAATGCGCACAATCTGGTTGTTAGCATTCTGTGTGTGTGTGAAAGATACAACATTATCCAGAATAATAATATTATAATAATATGATAACAAAAGAAGAGTGAAGAAACAAAAAAAAAGTCAAATCTTATTGTTGACTGAGCAAATAAGGAGGAAAGATTCAACTCTTTCAAACCCATTTACCGGTTCAAGATTCACTTTAAACCCTGTTCAAGGACTCATCGCTATCTGTCGTCATTTGTACGAGAATCCTTTCCATTATGTTTTACCTTGTACCTTGACAAGTTGTTAAATAGCCCTTTCCTTTGAGCCCGTTATAAAAAAGGCGTCCAAAGAAGCGCAAGAAGAGCAAAGAGAAAGAGAAGAAGAAGAAGAAAAAGAAAAGTGAAAAAAAGTTGTTCACACAGACCCATAAGGTAACGGTAACTTAACCCTACCTCGAGTCCTTCAACCCTTGCCCATTGATATCATCAAACAAGGATGATAATGATGATGCTACGATAAGAAGGAAGTTTCCCTTTGAGGGAAGAAAATTTCTCATCTTATTATTAACGTTTACATTCCCAGGGTTGATAACCATAAAATAAGCATATATCCTTGTCTAACACCTTCATTGTTATGGTTTCGAGTTTAACAAATTATTTCAAGGACATTAAATTACAGGTAAAAAAAAGCTCGAAGGGAGTAAAGTAACGTCTTAAAGATTTCTTCTTCTTTTCATCTTCTCTTTCAAATTGTCTTCTTTGTCATCCAAGGGCATCTTCATATGATCATCTCGGCACTCTCTTCCATCTGCCCATCTAGACGCTCTTATATAATATTTATATAACAACTAATTATGTTTACCCAAACAAGTCGAAGAAGACGAAGAGAGAGAAAGAAATCATTTCCTTTTACCTTGATCATCATTACCTTTTGATGAAGAAAAGGGTTCAAAGGCAAATTATACGCATTTGCTAATTTAAATTATTCGTTGGTTTTTCACTTTCTCACTGTTTACCAAGGTTAACTTTGATTAGATTCAAAGGGTTGCCCAAGTTTCCGGAATTTTTTCTCTTCTTCTTCTTTTTTCTGGTCTCGAAGATGTTGGGTCATTGTGTGAGCCCTGTCCTTGTCTCTCTCTTGTCTCTTGATGAAAGGGTGAAAGGAAATGGCAATTATTATCATCATCATGATCATCTTGAAGGAAAGGGTAAAAAAATGGTTTAATGTTTTTTTTTCTTTTTCTGGCTTTTCTTTCTTTAGCTTAAACCATTTGTTACGACCATTCATGTGAACCATTTCAACATTCACTGTTTTTGCTTTGGTTAAAGGGTTTCCTCACTCATTGTCTGTGCTATTGGCACTTTCACTTGGAGTCAGGTAATTCGAGGTTCACGCAAAGGCTCAAGAGGATGACGAATAGAATGATGTAAACAGATGATAATGATGATAAAAGATGTTACGTTTCATTGAATCTAACCTTGAATAATTTAATTTCACTTTTAAATATCAGAACAATTATATTTCTCAATATTAACCTATAGCTTTGCTTAACAATTTCGTGATTTCTGGATGCTTCAGTAATCAGCTTTTCCAGCTTTGGCTTGATTCATTAATGGCTCTACAAAACGATTAGAACGATAAATAACAATTTTAAACTAATTTACAGTCAAAACTGAAAGTGACTTGACTTGAGCATTGAAATTTCGATAGGACAAGTTTCAGAAAATGTCGAAATTCATTTTTACTCAAATTTTTCTTCTCACAATTCAATTTTTCGCTTGCTTTACTTCAGGTTAATTAGTTTTCAAAAATTTTGATGCCAATTTGAAAATTTAAAATATTACCTTTCGAAATCATAATGCACAAGAAAATGAGAAAAGGTCGAGTTTTCTGGTTCAGTCTGAGCTTTTCTGATAACATAAAGCTGCTTATTTGCCTTAGCTTTTTTCAATTCATGATATGACTCAATACATTTCCATTTAGTATTGAACATTTCGATGCTTTTAGCCTGATTTGATTAGTTCTTTTTGGTAAAACTCACAACTTGGTTATTTAAGAAAAATTTGTAACATTGAAAGTCATGGAGTGAGGTGAAATATTTATGGAGAATTGAGCTTAGATACTGGACTTCTTTTAGCTATCAGTCTTGTTTGTGTACAGTCTAGTCTATTTTGGCTGATTTTTCATCTCATCGTTTATTTTAAATGAACTACTTTTTTAGTAATATTGACGAAAGCGAGTGGTTCTTGCATTGATTCTTGGTGTGTTTTCCATGGAATCTGCCGATGGATTCCAGAAAATTGAGCCACAAGTTTATTGATATTATCAAATGATGGTCACAATTTTTGAATCTGTAATTTCAAATTAGACTTTAAGCTTGATTTTTAGCTCAAGTCAAAAAGCAAATGTTTCTCTTTACCATTCAAGTCTAATCTAATGTTTATCTCTTTAGAAACTCCAATTGAACTCATCGAAAGATTATTGTTTCAACAGTGCTTTTCTTATTTGAATTTTCCTCTCAATTGGTAGCTTGGTTCAATTTGAATTTAAAGGAATCAACACTATTAAAGTTGTCCAGTTTGGTCAGAATCGCAGGGTTCTTGCATCAAGATTTGGTGAATCCAATGATATTGAATGTAAATTGACATTTGACAATGGAAAAGATGAACTGAAAGGTTGGGCTTGAAATCAATTAATAACTTGATAATGATTTGACTGTGCGATGCTGGTTATTCTTGATCAATTGAAAATGCCAGTTGATTAAATTGCTCTGCAATAATGTTGAGTAGATGTGAGGGAAAATTGAAACGGTGAAAAGAAGATTAACTCTTGAACAAATTGGTAATGATGATGAAATTGAATAATCCTCTGCTTTGGACAACTAATAATCATTTTTTATCAATTTTTGCACCATCACATGATTTTTCTTCATTCCGTTGTAAGAATAGTGAATCAAACCATTACTTCTTTACACTTGGAATTCGAATCAGTCGAATCAATGTTGTTTCTTTGCTAGTTCTTAAACCAACGAAGGAGACCAACTCTTAGGACAATCGTAATTTTTACATTTCACATTAGTCAGCACAACATTTTGTCCAATTCAAGACTCTCAATTTAATACTTGGGAATGTCCAACAATTTCATCAACTCAAGTCTTTGCTGCTGCTGAAAAAGGTTGCATTTTAATTTCAATCAATTCGTCATCAACCTTTACCGGAAAACACAAAAAAACGTAAAGCCTCATTCTTAGATTGAAAAAGCATGAGAAGAGCATAATTACTAGAAGCTGATCAAGTTAATGATGAAATTGCTCCATAAAGTCAAGAACATCTTATCTATGGCAAATCAATCAGGGTAACCTATGAAAAATCAGTAGTCAATTTATGCTAACAAAGCAGGTCAAATATTGGGTTGTCCCGTTTGAAACCTGCTATTTTTGACTAAAACTACACAAACTAAACAAAATTTTATCAATATGCCTATTAGAGGTGAATTGGTTTATTCAAGGATTTAAGTAAATGAGAAACTTTTTTCAATATTCATTATTCAATATTTTTCAAATTTCCGTTAACGACTGGTTTTCCGATTAGGCTCATGGTTACCAACAAAAATTGATTAGCCGTTTTGTACCCAATGCAAGTGAAAAACGTGGTGAAAAACTGTAACATGGCGGCCATGGTCTATGATGACTTACAATCTCAATGATTCTATTGGTAATTGTTTGAGTAATGTAACTTGAAATGATGAAAAATGATGAAAATTGAAACTTCATAATCTAAGTACATGCGAATTGAACATTGTCTTTTGTTGTGGTAAAGAAAACTTCAAATTGTTAGACCTTGAACCTGAATTGATAAACTAACTCAGCCTCACAAGGAGGAAATTAATAAAATCAGAAACTTAAGGGCCGATTTCAAACGGAACAACCTAATAATTCAGAGAAAAAAATTCAAAGATAGTCCAATTCAATATTATCCAATATCCGTGAGTCTACACTTTACAAGGAAACAGTTCCAGATTTATGCACGAAAAGTCCAACTTCGGCTACTTTGAGAACAGAACAGTAAAACGTGAATGGATAGCTTAAATTAGAAACAAATTTTCGGTAAACACGCTTTTCGATTCATCAGATGATTCAATTCGAAGATGAAACTTAACGCCACTTTTGGATTTCGATGTTTAAGATAAAATAAAATAATAAACTCGAGAATATTCGAACAAATTTTTCATATAAACTGAGTCAAGGCAGGAAACTTACGACTCAAGTCCAGAAAATTTAATCTAATAGATAAATGGAAATCTTAAAAATCTTAAATAAAGAAAAAAATCGACAAAAAAATGAACAGAATCGGTAAAAATTGCAGCTCATCCCAACCTAAGAACTGAACACATTGGAAAAGCAGAAATGTTGATAAACTGAACCTATCAACTATCAAACTCAAGACTAAGCAATTTATTAGTGAAAACAGCAAAAAAGGCAAAAATTATCGTTTCCAGGTTAACCAAAAGAGCAAATCGTCAACTCAATTATGATTAATAATCAAAACGATTGAATTGAAACATTGAACAAATAATTAACTTGATCATTGTTGACAAAAAGCAAAGTAGATCATGAAACACTGAACACTTGAACCAACCAACTGAAGAGTCGTCGGGCGATATTGGAATGGCAAAAATAGTAAATCAATAGCAATGGACAATTGAACGAGAAACACCGAAAAGAAAATCACAAATAACACAATTTTGAAACATTGAATAAAAATTGATTGATTTTGTTGATTCAATGAAATGATGGAAATGATGTAAACTGATAAATTGTAAAAATAATTTTATAGATAATGTTGAAAACCAATGAGATAAATAAAAGTTGAACTCAAACAGCGCAGTCCTCGACTTCTTATAGGCCAACTTCAATCATTTACTTTCTATTCTTTTCTTCTCTTTCTCTTCTTCTTCATCCTCATCCTCATCCTCATCTTCATCTCCATCTTTAGCATCGACATCATCATCTTGGAAATGAGCAAAAATGGCGATCTTGAATTACTCAATTTGCGATTCTCTTTCTTTGTTTCACTCGATTTTAACCAATTTTTCCAATTCTTTCATTACAATTTCATTAATCATCATTATTGGAAGCTATTAATTGTCCACTTAATATTGTCAAATTGTTGTTAATGGTGAAGCCTGATACAATCAGGAATCATTAACTAACCAACAATGAAACCTTTTCAACTTAAAAAAGTCATTAATAATTGTTGAAGGTAAAAGAAACAATTAAATGGTGAAATCGGAAACAAAAAGTTTTTCTCAAAAAAAATTCTCAAAAATTGGTCAATTTTCAGTTTAAAATTCATCTCATTATCTTGATCAAGTTGCTACCCACGGAGGTTAATGGCGAGATAAAGAGTTGATCGTTTAAATGAGCTTAAATGCGCCAGTAATTATGAAACATCTTCACCATCAAGTCTTTTTTATGTTTAGCAATTAAAGATTCACACATTTAACGCAAGCTTGATTAAAATTAATGAGAGGAAATTGAAATTACAAGTTTAACTTGCATGTTTCCTTAAAACTGAAAAAAGGTCCAAAATGTCTGTCCGTCTTTTTTCTTCTGCCATTTTTCATCTGCTATTATCATCTTATTACGTACATCGTATTATGTTTAAAGGCTAGCAATTATTTCAATGGTAGGCTCAGAGATTTCGCATTAATTAATTGTAATAAAATGCGAAATGATAACTTGAAATTAACAGGCATCCAGGAAAAGGAAAACTGCTTAAAGTGTTTGTCAGCTGCGATCAACCATTCAATTCGGACGTTAGATTGGGGTATTGATGATTTATAATGACACTTTCAGTTTACATCAAATTGATTAGGGTTGAGTTTAGGTAATGGTTATGAAGATAATGATGAGGCTGAAGATGAGGTTAAGGATGCCAATGAAATCTGTATTTAGCCTTTTTCCATCGTCTTATTAAATGTTACTTTTGCCTTCCAATGTTTGGTTATTTGCTTACATCCACTGTTTACTTTGTTAACCTCAAAGGGAAAGTTGAAGGTTACTGTTGAAATTAAAAGTGTCTATTAATTTTAGCAGACCAAATGTATGTTAGTATCGCATTAAATTATGATTACTTGTTGATCTATTTTCATACCTTTTCCTCTTTTTTGTGGCTCAATAGTCAGATAACGGTCAAGGTTAACCTTGTAGATGTTCATCACTTACTAAGATTGAGACTTCATTTGGCCTTTTGTTTCATTTTTGGTTCCTCTTTGGTTTTATGTTGACTTGATGTTCCCTTGTTGTATTTAAATCACGGTAAGGTGAAACATTGTATCTCTTGGCTGTTCCATTACTACCATTGTATATGTTGGCTGGTTGTGATTATTTACGGTTTTTCATTTACCTGAATCTATTAGGTCATCCGGTATAGTTTTCCCCTTGGTATGAAGGAATGACTTTTTGATGGATTTTAAACGCCTAATGAACTTATCAGGCTTTAAAACAAATATACCTAGAGAGAAAACGCGTTCGAACTTAATCATCTCAGTGCGCAGGCTCCTTATTCAAAAATCACAATTTTTACGACTTTTCGCCATAAATTGTTCAACAATTCGCTCCACATGCATGTTTTTCGAGGTTTGAAAGGATTAATCAGTAGCCAGAGAATACATCTTGAATATAATGAGCAAAAAAGATTACAAAATAACCTGAAACAATTGTTGTTCTGACGTTGAATGTGATCTTGAATCAGCCCACAACGTGAGTACAGGCGAACTGAGGGACACTGTCAATTCGTTGTCACTTTTCTGATTCGGATAGAATTCCACCATAGAATGTGTGGTATCAAAAGAATTCTTAGACCTTCAAAAAACATTCTGAGCAGAAACCTGATCTCTATCTGTAAACGCAACCCTTAAAATTTGAATGAGAAGCCACTTACTCCATTTTCAAGCTGTACTGCGTTCTGACCACTATTGATGCCGTTTTATGAGCCCTAAGGGAACAATCTTAGCATCATTTAATAGACACATATCATGGCTTCTCATCGTCACAGAAACAATAAATTTCCCTGCTAGCTCGTATGAGTTATAGCAATTTTTCGAACTTTTGTCATTCCAAAAATTTAATTTTTTTTGGAATCATTTACAGTTGTTCATGAATTGCACAAAATAATGATCATGTACAGGGTTGATGATGATAACAGTGATGTTATCTGGTCTCGCGAATGCGAAAACATTGAATTCGTCACAAAAAAATATCATCTTCATACCGAGGGGAAAACTATACCGGATGACCTAATATATTAAATTTATAATTATGATTACTAGTGAAAAAGGATTTAAGAATAACATTTGCTTAATCAAATCTTTTGTTCTTCTTGAGCTTAAATTCGCCAGTAATTAATAACCATCTTCAAGTCTTTTTTGTGCAGTGCAATTAAAGATTCACACATTTAACGCAAGCTTGATTAAAATTAATGAGAGGAAATTGAAATTACAAGTTTAACCTGAATGTTACCTTAAAACTGAAAAAAGGTCCAAAATGTTTGTCAGTTTTTTTTCTTCTGCCATTTTTCATCTGCTATTATCATCTTATTATCTATACAAAGGATAGCAATTATTTCAATGGTAGGCTCACAGATTTTGCATTAGTTAAATGTAATAAAATGCGAAATGATAACTTGAAATTAACAGGCATCCAGGAAAAGGAAAAGTGGTTAAAGTGTTTGGCAACTGCGATCAACCATCCAATTCGGACGTTAGACTGGGGTATTGATGATTTATAATGACACTTTCAGTTTGCATCTAATTGATTAAGGTTGAGTTCAGGTAATGGTCATGAAGATAATGATGAAATCTGTATTCAGCTTTTTTCCATCGTATTATTAAATTTTTCTTGTGTCTTTCAATGATTGGTTATTTGCTTGAGTCCACTGTTTAATTTGTTAACCAAAGGGAAAGTTGAAGGTTACTGTTGAAATTAAAAGTGTCTATTAATTTTAGCAAACCAAATGTATATTAGTATCTCATTAAATTATGATTACTTGTTGATCTATTCTCATACCTTTTCCTCTTTTTTTGTGGCTCAATAGTCAAATAACGGTCAAGGTTAATCTTTTAAAGGTTCATCATTCACTGGGTTTAAGATGGAATCTTTATTTGAGCTTTTGTTTCTTTTTTGTTTCCTTTTTGGTTCCTCTTTGGTTCCTCTTTGGTTTTATGTTCCCTTGTTGTATTTTAATCACGGTAAGGTGAAACATTGTACCTCTTGGCTGTTCCTTTAATGTATGTTGGCTGGTTGCGATTATTCACGATCATTAATTACATTTACCTGAATATATTTTAAATTTAACATTTGCTTTTAATTAAGTCTCTTTTGTTCTTCTTTTGTTTGGCCTTTCGCTTTTCTTGATAGTGAGATTGGTTGTTAGATTAACGTTACAATCCAACGTTTTGCACGCATTAGATTTATTACAAAACCATGTCTCTTTTTTACCACAGCTTTAATCCACACTTTTGTATTACTTTCTCGGCATTTTCCAAATGATTTAGGTAAATTTTATATTAGGACTCGAGATGCAATTGCCAGGTCTTTAAGATTGAATCAATGGAACCTAATAGACGGAAAAAATATAAATAATTAGTAAGTCTTAAACCAAATTCCAATTGTCTCGACTGATGAATCCAAAAGTCATTCATGAAGATTCACAGTGAGGATAGAGTTGACCAAAGATTCATAAGAAAACTAATACAAAAAGGAAACATAATTTCTCAATATTTCAACTGATTGTAAGACATTTGTTCTAATTAAAACAATGAAGCAAAAAAATAATAAAAATAAAGGAACTCAAATAAGCGACTCTAATGAAATCAAATGCATGAGCCAGTGAATAATACTGTTTTGTTCAACAGCAATTTAAAAATAAAAGCGCCATCTCTTGCAGTATAAGAATAGGTTTAGTTTTAAATCGTACTTTTAGATGGAGTTACATAACTCAGGTTTTGATTGTTACCAAGAGATGGAGTTATTATACAGAAATAAAAATTGTTGAAAATAAACCAATTTTTCTCGTTCTTCCTCTTTTCATCTTGCTAGACTTCTAGATTTTAGCTATTAGTCTAATTAGATTTTTAGTTTAGCCTAAAATGTCTAATAAAAACCTGAAAGTCAGCAATGTGATCAGGACTCCGAATTAGACATGAAACTGCAGTCTAATCTAGTTTAGCCTTTTGTGATGCATTCGCAGCTCATTGATTTTTAAGATCGTTTTGCTGATGCTTCATCTTATCGTTTGAATCAACTAATTTTTCAATAAAACGATGAAGATATTGATAGAAGCAAGTGTTTCTTTCATTGATTCTTGCAGTGTTTTCCATGGAATCTGCCGATGGATTCCAGAAAATTGAGCCACAAGTTGATTGATATTATCAAATGATGGTCACAATATTTGAATCTGTAATTTCAAATTAGACTTCAAGCTTGAATTTTAGCTCAAGTCAAAAAGCAAATGTTTCTCTTTACCATTCAAGTCTAATCTAATGTCTATCTCTTTAGAAACTCCAATTGAACTCATCGAAAGATTATTGTTTCAACAGTGCTTTTCTTATTTGAATTTTCCTTTCAGTTGGTATCTTGGTTCAATTTGAATTGAAAGGAATCGACAGAATTATGTATTGGTCAGAATCGCAGGGTTATTGCATCAAGATTTGGTAAATCCAATGATATTGAATAAGAATTGCCATTTGACAATGAAATGGATGAACTGAAAGGTTGGGTTTAAACTTGATAATGATTTGACAGTGCGATGCTTGTTATTCTTGATCAATTGAAAATGCCAGTTGATTAACTTGCTCTGCAATAATGTTGAGTAGATGTGAGGGAAAATTGAAATGGTGAAAAGAAGATTAACTCTTGAACAAATTGGTAATGATTAAATTGAAACATTGAACAAATAATTAACTTGATCATTGTTGATAAAAAGCAAAGTCGATCATGAAACACGGAACACTTGAACCAACCAACTGAAGAATCGTCGGGCGAAAATGGAATGGCAAAAATAGTAAATCAATAGCAATGGACAATTGAACGAGAAATACCGAAAAGAAAATCACAAATCACACAATTTTGAAACATTGAATAAAAATTGATTGATTTTGTTGATTCAATGAAATGATGGAAATGATGTAAACTGATAAATTGTAAAAATAATTTTATAGATAATGTTGAAAACCAATGAGATAAATAAAAGTTGAACTCAAACAGCGCAGTCCTCGACTTTTTATAGGCCAACTTCAATCATTCACTTTCTATTCTTTTCTTCTCTCTTTCTTCTCTTTCTCTTCTTCTTCATCCTCATCCTCATCCTCATCCTCATCTTCATCTTCATCTTTAGCATCGACATCATCACCTTGGAAATAAGCAAAAATGGCGATCTTGAATTACTCAATTTGCGATTCTCTTTCTTTGTTTCACTCGATTTTAACCAATTTTTCCAATTCTTTTCATTACAATTTCATTAATCATCATTATTGAAAGCTATTAATTGTCCACTTAATATTGTCAAATTGTTGTTAATGGTGAAGCCTGATACAATCAGGAATCATTAACTAACCAACAATGAAACCTTTTCAACTTAAAAAAGTCATTAATAATTGTTGAAGGTAAAAGAAACAATTAAATGGTGAAATTGGAAACAAAAAGTTTTCTCAAAAAATTGTACAAAAATTGGTCAATTTTCAGTTTAAAATTCATCTCATTATCTTGATCAACTTGAGCCCGCAAAGGTTAATAATAATAATGGCGAAATTAAGAGTTGTTCGTTTAAATAAGCTTAAATTCGCCATTAATTATGGACCATCTTCAAGTCTTTTTTGTGCAGTGCAATTAAAGATTCACACATTTAACGCAAGCTTGTATAAAATTAATGAGACAAAATTGAAATTACAAGTTAACCTTAAAACTGGCGGAAAGGTCCAAAATTTCTGTCAGTTTTTTTCTTCTGCCATTTTTCATCTGCTATTATCATCTTATTATATGTACAAAGGCTAGTAATTATTTCAATGGTAGGCTCAGAGATTTTGCATTAATTAATCGTAATAAAATGCGAAATGATAACTTGAAATTAACAGGCAATCAGGAAAAAGAAAACTGGTTAAAGTGTTTGTCAGCTGCGATCAACCATTCAATTCGGACGTTAGATTGGGGTATTGATGATTTATAATGACACTTTCAGTTTACATCAAATTGATTAGGGTTGAGTTTAGGTAATGGTTATGAAGATAATGATGAGGCTGAAGATGAGGTTAAAGATGCCAATGAAATCTGTATTTAGCTTTTTTCCATCATTCGGTTATTCGCTTAAATCCACTGTTTACTTTTTTAACCTCAAAGGGAAAGTTGAAGGTTACTGTTGAAATTAAAAGTGTCTATTAATTTTAGCAAACCAAATGTATATTAGTATCTCATTAAATTATGATTACTTGTTGATCTATTTTCATACCGTTTCCTCTTTTTTGTAGCTCAATAGTCAAATAACGGTCAAGGTTAACCTTTTAAAGGTTCATCATTCACTGGGTTTAAGATGGAGACTTTATTTGACCTTTTCTTTCTTTTTTGTCTTATGTTTTCGCTTCATGTTGACTTTATGTTCCCTTGTTGTATTTTAATCACGGTAAGGTGAAACATTGTATCTCTTGGCCGTTCCATTATGTTCCATTAGGTATAAATTGGCTGGTTGCGATCATTCACGATTAATAATTACATTTACCTGAATCAATAGGAAATTTATAATCATGATTGGTAGCGAAATGAGATGTAACGAATAACATTTGCTCTAATCAAGTCTCTTTTGTTCTTCTACTGTTGGCCTTTCGCTCTTCTTGATAGTGAGATTGTTGTTAGATTAAGGTTACAATCCAGCGTTTTTCACACATTAGATCTGTTACAAAAGCATATCTCTTATTATCAAAGCTTAAATCCACGCTTTTGCAATACTTACTCAGCGATTTCCAAATGATTTAGGTGAATTTTCCATTGAGACTCGAGATGTGATTTCCGATGGCTTTTAAATTGAATCAATGGAACCTAATATACGAAAAGAATATAAATAATTAATAAGTATTAAACCAATCTTTAATTTTTCTCGACTGATGAATCCAAAAGTCATCCATGAAGATTCACAGTGAGGATAGAGTTGACCAAAGATTCATAAGAAAACCAATAAAAAAAGGAAACATAATTTCTCAATATTCAACCGATTATTAGTAAATTGTTTTAAAACAAAATAAATGATAAAAAACAAAGCAATTAAATTAATAAGGCGACTATAATGAAATCAAACCAAAGAGTAGCAAGAGATAGCACGAGAATTGAAGACCTCAAATTGAGATAAAGAGTTCTCGTAGGGGTTGATAGATGGGTCTGATGGAAGGAAAGAAAAGAAAGGGAAAAAGAAAGTAAGAAATAAGAATTGTAAAAATTATAAAAAAATTATCTTCTAATTTGAAGAAATCATCAAAGAGGTTAAT